GAAGATATCTTTTTAAAGCAACCTGATGGACTCAACTGCCCTCCAGAGATTAGAAACAATCCCAAGTATTGGCCTTATTTTAAGGTAGTTACATGAATGTGATTAGGGTATATAATATTATATGTTTAGATACAAATAATTAGTTTTTACAGGATTGTGTTGGTGCAATTGATGGTACACATTTTCGTCTAAAAGTGCCAAACAAAGATGCACAAAGATACCGAGGACGAAAATGCTATCCCACTCGAAATGCTTTGGCTGCATGTTCTTTTGATTTAAAGTTTACATATATCCTTCCGGGATGGGAATGATCTGCTTCAAATTCGAGAATATTAGATAATGCATTAACAAGAGAAATAGATAAATTGATCGTTCCCCAAGGTGATCACTGAACGTGTATATAAGCTAATGAATATAAATCTTATTTTGTTTTCTTTCAAACTAACATCATTTAGTTACTTGTTGGTCCTAGGGAAATATTACTTAGTAGATGCAGGATTTCAACTAAAAACTAGGTTTCTTGCTCCATATAGAAGTACTCGTTACCATTTGAAGGAGTATAGTGTTCACCAACCAGAAAATTCTCGAGAACTTTTCAACCTTCCTCATGCGTCTTTGCAAAATGCAATTGAAAGAGCCTTTGGTGTCCTAAAGAAAAGGTTTCCAATTTTAGAAAGTGGGACAGAGCCATATTATGATGTTAACACTCAAGCAGATATTATTTTGGCCTGTTGTATTTTGCACAACTACCTCATGGGTATTGATCCCAATGAAAGTCTTATTGAGAAGGTTGATACAGAGCTTAGAAGAGCACAAGTGCAAACTAACCTGGCTAGATCAAGTTTAGCTGAAGAATGTAGAGAAGGAGAATTGTTAAGGGAACGAATAGCTACTGACATATGGAGGGATTATGATATAAATCTTCAATGACAATCAAATTATAATATGGATCCTGGAAAACAGAGAGGGGCTGGAAGAGTTATTTGATGTTCTTGCTCTTGTTCTTGCGATGTACCCATTATGTACTCATTTGCTTTACATCAATATAATCTTTTTCTTTTGCTAATAAAACAAAAAATTGACAAGTTAATTATTATTATTTGAATGTTATCTTGGAATGAATTATATTTTAATTTGCCATTGTATTATGTGAAACATTGCGTTTGTTTGGGTGATAATTTGCTACTAGCTATGCTCTTATTTCGATATGTTTTATGGCATTTTTTAGTGTAGGTGGAAGGTGACCAAGAATGCTCAATAGAAATTGACAAGAAACATTTGAAATGGAATAATCAAATGGATGTTGTTCTTATTGACTCACTCTTGGACCAAATGCTCAAAGGGAAAAAAAATGGTGGTAGTTTTACATCATCTGCTTATAGAGCTGCAAGCAATGCGGTGAGTACCAAGTTTAGTGTACATTGTGATTCCAGTCATGTAAGGAATCAGTTGAAGACTTTAAAAGGAATCTTGCAATGGCTAAAGATATGTTAACAACTGATAGTGGATTTGGATATAATCATTCAACACAATTGATTGAAGCTAGAGCAGGTGTATGGGCAGTTTACCTCAAGGTATATCTAATTGCAAGATTGATAAAGTTCTGTACTAGAAAATTAAAATATTTGTTCATTATTATTTAATATAATATTTTATATGCTATTCTCTATAGACAAAGCCGAAAGCTTCTCAGTTTCGACATGCTCCGATTCAAAACTTTCAAAAGTTATGTCAACTCATCAAAAAGGATCGAGCAACTGGGAGTCTTGCTATAGGTCCAAAAGAAAAGCGACTTCGTTGGGCTGGGCAATAAATTCTTTTGGACGATGAAAATACTGATCATACTGAGTCACTCTCAGAGAATTTTGATGGGATTAGAACTCAAGATACTGCTGAAGTATCTTGTTCCTCTAAGTCAAAGAAGAGAATGAATAAATCAGGTGATACTCTGAGTGAGGAAATAAGGTCAATTGAGGATGGTCTAGATGCAATTGCAACAGCACTTGATCGTGGTAACCTTCGAAACTACACAAACGGACAACTATTTGAGGAGATTAAGAAGGTTAGTGGCATGAGTGATGCTTCTCAAATGAAGGTGTATCAAGTTCTTGCTAAAGAATTGAGTGATGCTCGAGCGTACCTAGAATGCCCTATTGAACATCAAGGTCTTTGGTTTTCTATTAAATTCGGATCTTCAATCTTTGATGCATAGTACTATGTTTCTTTCTTTGGTACTTTTTTATTTGAATATTTCAGGCATTAGGCTTGGATTTTTTGTATGTAGACTCCCTTAGTTGGTTGCTGCACTTGAATGGTAGATTCAGGGCATGTATGTGTCCTTGAGATTCTAAATGGTCTCTGTTGCTTAATGGCCACTGTTGCACTTCTTTATGATATTGTGGATATGAATGCTATGTACTGCTTATCAAGTTCTATTTTAATGTTTTTTATGTATGTTCTGCTTCTGGATTGTAGTGGTTTCACTCTGGTTTATTTGTTTTGGTTCTATGCTTATATGGATTACACAGGGGTTGAGGTCTGGTGTTCTGGTTTTGATGTGCTGCTTTGATGCACTGGTGTTGAGTCTGGTTTGGTGAAGGAGCCTACATTGATGCACTGATGTTTTGTAGTATTATCTATTTCTGTTATATGTTATGCTATCTGTTTTGGTTGGATGAGTCGGTTATGTTGGGTTTGATGTTTTGCATTGATGCATTGAGTCTATTTTGGTGGATGAGTTTGTTATTCTGGTTGTGATGCATTGCTGCACTATAATACATTGATGTTATGGTTTCTATATTGGCGGATGAGTCTAGTGTCCTGATTTTGATGCTCTGCTGCTGATGCCGTCTTATGCTTTGGTTTGGTGTTCTACGCTTATGCTCTGCTGCTGATGCTGGCTGTCTGTAGGTGGTTGTAGGTGATTGATTTGTTTTTTCTATTTCTTTGGTTGGTTTTGGTCTAGTTTTATAGGTGTTAGCTGTTCAATTTGGTTCTTACAATCATAAAATTGATAGACTATTTGATTTGGTTTTCAAAAACTTGTTTTCAATTTTTTTTTCCTAAAATATTAATTAGGTGAAGGAAATAAAAAAATACTTATCATTTTTATACAATTTTATTTTTTGGGAGGCTATAAATAATTTTTAAAATTAAAAAAATGATTTTTTATTTTTATCAAATTAATTTTTTATTTTTTATTTTTAAAAATTAAAACTTTTTTATTTTTTTCTAAAAAACAAACTTCATTTTGATCGTGTGCAGCTTTATTTTTTGTTATTGCAATTCATGACTACAATTTTGTGTGTGATGAAGGACAGTGAGAGAGTTTTTGATAAATGATTTTTTTTCCTCCTTCAATTCCCAATGCAACCAAACATAGTTGAGATTTGGAATCCTATTAATTCTTCCTCCTTTTCTTTTCATTTTCATTTTTCTTTCTAAATCTCCCAACTAAACACAGTATAAAACAAAAAGCAGATCAGATTGATATTCCACAGGAATACACAAAGTGGAAATTCCAAATAGTCAAACCACAAAGTTGTTTAGCTTTCGTAAAGAGTTTAGTTAGTGAAAAAAACCTACATTTGAATGAATATTAGCAACGTGATTACTCATATAATGGACTTGATTGACATAAAAATAACAAAATTGTCTAAGACAGACTCAGTTTGTGTGATGAATCCAAGTAACGACAAACTCACAATTTCTAGAAAGAATGGAAAGATTGCAATAAATCCAATGCCTAAGACAGCAGGCACTAAAAAAAAAAAAATTCCAAATCCACCTTCTTTTTTTTTTTTTCTTTTTCTTTTTCTTTTAACAAAATCTTTTCTTCTTTACTACTTTACCAAGGAGGTAGTTTCGAAGTATGGTTTTAGGGAGATTGTGTTTGAATAGTTTGAGATTTACGATTTTATACTGAGTTATAAAAAAATAATATAAGATATGATGTGATATTTTTGAAATGCTTAATAAAAATTTTTTTGCTATTAATTGAAATTAATTTTATTTTTACTCTTAAGTCACATTTGATAACTTTTAATTTTAGTTAAAAAGTAAAAAAAAAATCATTATTACTTGTTACATCATTCTCTCTATCTTTCTGCACATCTTTTTGTAAAAAATTACTAAAATAATTTATTTTCAAATGAGGTTTTAGTTTGCATTTCTGATAGGTGTGATGCTTGGAATCGAGTAATGTGTGTGTGTGATGTAGTTTTCTTTTTTCTTATATTTCTCTAATCAATTGTGAAAAAAATAAATTAAAAAAAGTTTGTATTTGTTTGTCAACAATATGTATGTATCTAGATTAATTTTGAATTTCATGTTGCATAAAAAATTGAACATTCAAAGAAAAAATTGAGTAAATCTAATTGTACAGATGATAATAGAATTAGACACAAAAATAGAATGAAGGAATCCACCATTCGTCCAACATCTACATCTCACTTTATGAAAATCTTCTACCATTATAGCACAGGAAGAGAGCGCCACTTAAATATTCTCCCATGGTTGGACTTGGACTTGGACTTCTAAAGAGTCCACAAAGCCTGGGGTTGTACTTGGGCCTGGAAGACTTGGGCAGTGTCAGGATGGGCACAAACCAATATGTTCAATGAGCTGGGCATGGACAGTTGGGCATGGACCAAGATTTACTATTCAGACTCAACTCAATTCAGAAAAATAAAAGGATAACTTTCCTATTTGCTTGTGAACCTTAATATATAGCCTCTTTTTATTTTAATTTTAATTTTTTTTAATTTTAATTTTAATTTTTACTTAGCGATCTCCATTACATAATAAATAGGTAAGAAAAATCCACATCATTATATTTTTATTTCAAATTAAAAAATTTATTAAGGAGAGTTTTTAAACTTGAAATGACGTAGTACTTATAAACTATTGATTTTGAATTTCAATGATACGTTACAATCTTATAAAATGAAATGGAGATATAAAGAGGATTAGAGTACTAGAAGGGACATAGGAGAAAATAATTAACTACACTCGCATCAGTAAGATTCATATTCAAGCAAACATCATGTGTTGATAAGGTGTGCCTCATTTTTTATTTTTTTAAACAGAGAAATTTAGACAAAACAGTAAAACAAACATTAAGAAGTATCAATTAAAGAAGCAAGAGCAGGATGGGGGCAAGAAACCCAGTCAAGAGGGAGCTGATCCTGGAGGAAAGCTTTCGCCACCCAGTGAGCCACCTTGTTAGCAGTCCTGGAAAACCAATGGAAAGACAAATTCCTTTGCTCTGCCATTCGCTTGATGCCACTAACGCTGTGCTTGTTTGGGGGATTTGGAAATGAAAAGGAAAAAAGTAGGTATAATATGAATAAAATATACTTATATTTCACCTAATTTCACATACATTCTCTTTCATTTTCCAAATCCCTCATTAAATCTCCCAAACAAACAGAGCATAAAAATTGCCCCACATTCCCATGGAGGAACAGTATCAGAGATTCTCAGATGAATGACCATTTGGTTATCTCCCTCACTCTCCACATTAGGTAATCTGCTAGAAAGAACTGATAAACAAGCCCATCGGCAAGCTAAGGTCTCACCTTGAAGAGAGGAAGAGACAAAAATCTTTTTAGCACTATCCAATAACTCCCCCTTAGAACCCGCAAAATAGCTGCAATCGAGGCCTGATTAGAGCCCTTCTTGGTGGCCACATCACAATTAATCTTGCAGAAACCATGGATTGGAGGTTGCCAACCATCGACACTTCCTGAATTCCTCACAAATCAAATTTTGTTTGTTAAGAAATTGTTACTTACATTGCAAACCTTGATCATTCTGTACACAAAATCCATAATACACTAATTAAATTTCAACCACACTTCTGAATTTATAATAAATATCTTGACAAACATATTGAGTACTTAAGTTTTCCTTTATTCTTCTCAAACTCATACCTTGGCAAACTTTATAGCTTGCTTATCAATTGTAGGGCTAATCTTATAATAGTTCTTCAAATATTCAAAAAAAAAAAAAAAAAAAAAAAATTAAAAGAAAACTATTCCAACCATAAGTTTTGAAAAGCCATAGTGATATCCATCTTTCAGAAAGACAAATTATCAAAACAAATTCAGTTCCCAAATTCTCAACTTCACTTGTATAAATATTCTCGACTAGCATCCATGACTTGCTAAATCTGCATCTAAAAGATAAACATATAAAGGTAATTGAAGCTATATTAAGTTAATATAAATTTGTTAATGAAATTAGTATTTATGAAAGAAATATATCACAAATGGAGCAGGCCAAGCAACATGAGCTCCAATAGCTTGTCCAATTATTTTGACAAGTCCATATGATTGGATCAAGCTTTCATTAGGTTTGACTGGCATTTGATCATGTACCTCCCAATAGTCAGGTCCTAGTTCTTCCCTTTCTACTTCTTTAGATGGGTTTGAGCTTTTAAGTATTCTGATTGCAACTGTTTTTGTTGGCCTAATGATACTTTTTAGAACAACTATATCTCTCACCTGTAAATCAAGATTTAACTACTCAAGTAATTATATATTTATAATTAATAAATAATATTTAGAAAATAAACTAGTACAAAGTGCCAGAGTGAAGATGATCATAACTGAAAATGATATGCATTTCTCCAGTAAATAAGCAAGTCACATGATTTAAATACTTAATTGAGACTTTTAGAAATACCATGTTTACAAATGCAAAAAATAAAAAATAAAAAAATAATAAAATATGGGGCTTTAGAATCTTTGTTGAAGTGATGATGTGAAAATAGATTAGTATTATTTTGTCATTTTATTCATCGTTACAAACAGAAAAAGGGTAATAAAATAAAATAAAAATAAAAACAGAGCAAAATAATGCAAAATCCTTCTAAAGCATTTAAACAAACACTTGAAAGACATTATATAAAATCACAACATAAATAATAATAGTAAATCACAACTAACCTTTTATATTAAAAGATGAAAATTAATAAATTCATGAGTTAAAAGATTAAATTTTCCAGATTGTATCAAGTTTTATGTCTAAAACAAGCAGATCATAAATAAGTGACAAAGATAGAGGTATTGCGTGTGTTTGATGAAAATGAGAAAGAGAGAAAGAATACCTAATGAACTGTCTACGCAGTCGTTAATTCGACGAGTGAAGTTGTGGTGTGGAATCAACTTCAGAATCAATTCCGTGACGAACGTGTGGTGAAAAGAGTTACAGAAGATTCAGAGACAAATTGACTAGGGTTGGGTAATTTGTATGATTTCTTTGTAATCTTTTCGTTCTTCAGTAGTGGATTGATAGTGGCGGTTCGCCCGTGGTTTTTGATTACAATTGAAGGTTCTTCAATTGTGGTTTTTTCCACGTAAAAAATCGTTTGTGTTGATTTATTGTTTATTCTCAAAAACAAACAAACTAAAATCACTCTCGTAAGTGTTTGATGATTTTAGGTTGAGTGTTTTGAATTTATTGGGTTTTGGAATTAGTTAATCTTGATCTAATCACAAATCACGTAGGATTTTCACAAACCATCCATCATAAATTCATGACTATATAATACCTCCAACATTAAAGTAGCAACAATAGTCAAAACAACTTAAATAGTGTAAAGTTAGAAAATAACTCACAATACCAAACTATCAAAATACTAAGTTATAAAATAAATAAACAAACTAATATCGACCCTAAACTCCAAAGAACAAAAGAAGTCCGAAAGACATTTTTTACAATCGTAGTTTTTTTTTGTCACCATTCCCAACTAATTCTGAAAAGGAAGCTCGCCTGCACTCAAATAGAATGCACCTGAGATGTTAAGAGACAAAACGGGTTAGTATACAAATATACTTGTATGAGTATAAGATTTGACACCCACGTGTCCACTAGACACAAACAAAAGTGCATTTAATTCTTGTTACGGGACAAGACAAGTAGTTCCATCCGCACCAAGACGAAAAAATAGTTTCCAAAAATGCGGTGGCATTTAGTTTCTTGTCCGTACACAACTAAATATAAATTAAGTATACATAATAATAATAATAATAATAATAATAATATTATTATTATTATTATTATTATTATGGTGGATCAGTTCTGCATAAAAAGTTAGTAAGACCCACCATTCTGGAAAAAATAAAGTTAGTATAATTTAATCATAAGTAAATTACTGAAGAAGTATAAAAATACACTATTTCATGCTTAAATCATTCAAATTGACCAAAACTCAAAAAATAAAAGTTGTACAAAATCAAATTTTCTAAAAAACAATGTGAGCAAATTTAGTAGAAACTGAATAGGTTGAGAGAAAAACTTGATAAAAGAACCTAGACGGAATTCAACCGAAAAATCTGAAACTAAAAACGAAGCAAAACTGCCCTAAAATGAGTTTTTTTGGAAAAGTTCAAAATACAAAAAGTGTTCAGAATAATATTTTACTTAGGTTTATGTGAAATCAATGAAAATGAGCTCGTTTGGTTGATTAAAACAACATCTAAAGTTTGCATTGCTAAAATGAATAAAAACTATTATAACCAAGATCATCCAATTACAAATTCTAATTGATCTTTTTAGTAAAAAATTAAAACACAAAAGTTGTCTAGAATTACGTATATATGTCTCTATCCAAATTTCATAATTTATCGAGGTCGTTTACTATTTCTTGAGATGTACAAATCAATACAATTAAACTATACCAATAAACTCATATTTAATTCTTTGTACCTGAACTCCACCACTTCGGCCCTTCACTTCTGAACTACACATATATCCCATGTGCCTCCCGTATACCTAACACCGTTCCGAAGTTAATTTGATGAATAGTTAAGCGCTCATTTGATTTGATGAAAAATTTGACACCGCCTTAATTTGATATGGTTTTAATACCATGATTAGAGTAGAAAAATGAAACGTACTTCATCAAATTTAAATTTGATGAAATATCTAAGTAAGTATTAGAGATGCTCTTATCCGGGCGATCCATGGGATAAGAGATTTTTGGGTAAAATTATAAATAGGAGAATTTATTAGTAGAATATAAATTATTTGTATTCAATTAGTCTATAAAATATTTTTGTATTTCAATATTATTTTTGACATTTAATTCATCAAATTCTAAATTTCATAATTAAGATATTTTATGAATAGTTTTATTCTTACAAATATTTTTTTAACCCTTAGAAATTTAGTGATGTGAATATTTACATTAAATAAATTTGACAGTGCGAATGTTCACGTTAGCAATATGAATTTTCACATTGGCAAATTCTAACTCTCATAATTAAGATATTTTGTAAGTAGTTTTATTCTTACAAATATTTTTTGAACCCTTAGGAATTTGGTGATATTAACATTCACATTAAATAAATTTAGTAGTGAGAATGTTCATATTGGCAATGTGAATGCTCACATGAAACATTCACATTGTCAATGTGAACAGTAATGCGCACTTTGTCCTATTATTATTAGGAATATTTTAGTAACTATGTTATTCATAGGATTTATTAGAATATAAGAAAATAATTTAGATTAAGTGGAATAAAAATAAGTGAAGAGATTTATAAATAAATGCCCTTTTACATGGTTTCATGCAGGGAATATTGTCACAAAGTAAAAAGAATAATAAAAGAGGAAAAACTGTGAGGGGGTGTGTATCATGCGAGTGTTTGGAAAGTTATTATTTTAGTAAGTTATTTTAATTTTTAGCTATTTTAGTAGACTAAAATTTTTATGTTTGAGAAGATGATTGAATTTGTTTGTAGTTGAATGTGATGTTTTTGAAAGAAAAAGTGAAATGATTATGAGTTTGATGTGACATTTTATCTTATTGACTATTTTAGTCTATTTTGTGTTTTTGTGAATTTTAGCCTAAATTGGGCTAAAGTCCCACTTCTCAAACAACCCCCATATGTACCTTATAATTAAAAAAAAAAATGATACAACTTCATATATTTTTGAGTCACAACTTAAAAAAAAAAAGAAAAAAAAAGTCATAACTAAAAAAATATCATAATTAAAAAATAAAATGATATAACTAGAGATGTATATGGTACATCCCATTCAAAGGGTGTGTATAGTATACACCCCTTAAAAGGTGGGTATTATATGTATGTACCTTATAACTAAATAAAAAAATAATATAACTCCATACTTTCTGAGTTGTAACTAAAAAAAATTATAACTAAATATTATATGAAACATAACTAAATATATTAAAATAATATCATAATTAAAGAAAAAAAGTCATAACTAAATAAACAAATGACATAATTAAAAGGTATATAATAAGAGGTTTGTATCCCAGAATTCTCCTGATAAAAGTCGCACAAACTTTAACATGGTAAAACAAAGTGTACAACCTTTCTATAAAAAGAAAATAAAAAGAAAACAAAAAAAGAAATAGAAAAAAGAAAGTGTACTATCAAACAAAGAATATTTATCGTTGAGCATATGCAATGAAATTTGTTATTTAGGTAAAAAATAAATAAATGATTGTAGTACAGATATTTGATTTTTTTTTTAATTATATATATATATATATACACGTAAAGTACCTATATCCTTTTAAACATGTACATTCGTTTTGGGTTGACATAAATATTGCCAAAATCTGATATGATCTTTTTGAAGTTATGATAGGAATACATTGAATCAGAATGCTGAATTTATAATATAATGTGTGATTAACTAGTAACTTCAAAATCATAACTTTGTACATCACCTCATAATTAGAGTGATACATAACAAGCACATTTATTTATTTTTTGCTGGAGAAGCTATTTGATGGTCTTGTAATAATATTTCACATGGCCTGGTTTAGAAATTAATTATTTTAATTGATTTTTTTTTTTATTTTTTTATTTTTTTTTTGTATTTATAAAAGGGTAGAGTATCAATAAATTTTAAATAGTAATCTTATAAACTGCTTGGTCTTTCATTTTTTTTTATGGATCCAAAGATTCCATTTTAGTGCGAATTACATAAAAAATCAAGTATAAATATACATATGTTAT